TCGACCGAATCACGGGCCGAAAATTTGACAGCGAAAAAAGCCGGAAAAAAAATTGGCAATATTTATGCCACTCTCGATCTTCGATTTTGACCATAACTGCTTTTCGCCGACAAATATTTACATGATGTCTGAAAATTTGTTTCAGATTATTAAAAAAATTTTTTTGATAATACCTCTTTACATAATTTGCAGAGCAAGAACTTAGCTCTTACACATTTTCCAGCATCCTTTATTGAAATTGTGTCTAGAACACCATTCATATCAGATGAATGCAACAGAGATGGGATCTGTAACGTAACGCATTTTGGACTAGAAAATAAAATAGGTAGCATACCAATATCATATTCGGTGATCCCACCAGTACCTTTAGTTCATTTTTCAAAAACTTCTTTTGTGGTCTTCGAAACATTCGCAATTTCGTCTTTTATTGCTTCATTTTTGTGAAAATCGTCCATTCTTCTAAAAAAAATATTTATTAATGTTAAATCAAAGAAAAAACAATGAAAATGCTTTATAAAGAGCGAAAAAACAATGAAAAACAGGAAAAATATTTTTGAAAACAAAAATAAAACAACGACACTCCGGCCGAAACAACGTCACTCCGTTGTTTATGGCCGCACGGCCGAAGCGGAAATTCAAAAAAAAGCCGAAAGCCGGGCCGGCCGGCCGGCTTTCGGCCCCGGCTTCAATTTACCAACCCTGTAAATAAATATACAAAAAATAGAAAAGGTAACCTTACTTTTTGTATTCCACTGACTCATATTTTTGATTTGCTGAATGCTGTAATCGGATAATTTATGGAAGGAAACACCAGTTATCACTCTACAGATCACCAGAAAATAAAAATTCTATTACGTCCACAGATCCTACTAAATTTACTGCTAAGATGACTATTCATAAACTTCAATGGATAATTCCTAAAATTATGCCTAGTCTTGAGATGCAAAATAAACTTCTAAACATCTTTGAAAGTAATAAATTAGTTCAAATGCCTTTTATATCTCGTCAATTTGAAAGTTATAATATCCCAAATGGTAATAGAGAATTTACTTGGAAACTAGGAACAAAATACGATAAAATAAAATACATCGTCATAGCATTTCAGACTGCTGGAGATAATAATTATCTGAATGCTGCAAAGTTCGATAATTGTGGACTAGAAGAAATTTATGTTGAATTGAATAGTTAAAGATATCCATATGAATGTTTAAAATTTGATTTTGATAAATTCAATGCAGTCCAACAATACAATTTTGCTAAAAAATTTAGGAATGGTTATTATGAAAGTATCAAGGATTATATTTTCATGGAAGAAGATATTTATTATTATTATTATCCACTTCTAGTATTTGATGTATCTAAACAGAATGATAGAATTATTGCATCTCGACATGATGTTACAATAAAAGCTTCATTTAATAAAAATATTGCTCAATGTACTAAATGTTACTGCCTTATTCTGAGTGAAAATATATTTGAAATCATGGATAATAGAGTTAAGGTTGTCAGTGTATAAAATGCTTAAAAACTTTGAAGAGTTCGATCTATCCGTTTCCTTTATCCAAGAGTTAAATTTCTCCGGATATCCGTACCACTTAACAAACACTTCTTTTACTCCTTTACTAGGTGAATGTCTTCCAGATCCTTTACATTTTCTATGTTTTATCACTTTTTCAACTTTATACTCTTCATTGATATTATTGTAAAGTGTGAGTTCTTCAAACTTTCATTTGATTTCTTCTTCTGCAAGATCTTTAATATAATACATAATTGGTTCACCAATATAAACTTCTGAAATCTTAAATTCTTCAGTACTCCAATTTGGAAGATATCCTTTATCGAAAATAGATTTATATTTTGTAATTCTGACAGTGTCTCGTATTTTGAATTTTGCTTTGATTGGAGTATTTTCTTCCTCACTTGAAGGAAAAAGATTTTTGTAAACTATCGATTCATTTTCTATTTTTGAAGCCTGCGTGGGAGTCATTTTGAAGTGTGAAAATGATTATTATAACCCCAGAGTAAATCATCAAGAATATCAACCCATTTATGATTTCCTTGATGAGTAAAAACATTTTCAACATCTTTTCTTTTAAGGTTCTATTAAACCTTTCGATAATAGAAGCTTTATCTGAATACAGTACCGCTCAAAAGGTTGGAAACTGTTGGTTTTTTGGGCATAACTTTTTTGAAATCAAACTTTTTTCCATGAACTTTTTTGCCGATTGTTTCTTACGCAATTGCCGATATAATGAGCTATTAGACATGATTCGTGCTTACCAAATAAGGATTTTAGGCCATTTTTTCAGAAATCCGTAAAAACACATTTTTTTGAATATGCAATTTAAGTCGGTTATTTTAATACTTGGTTGCAAAGCCTCGGGGACCAATAACTGCCTGGCACCTGCGAGGCATGGAGTCCAATTCAGATGTTGCTTAGCCCACTCGACCCGGTGTCGTCTATTCTTCTCCGAAATGAACGGTTTCTTCACTGGTCTTCTTCCGAACAATCCTGCCGCTGATAAACGGCGTTTGATTGTTTATACCTACTCAATTAACAAATGACTATTGTATTTAGAATTCGACGCTCAAACGCCTGTTTCTACGATTTGAACGACAAGCCATTGCCGCTGCCATTCTGGCCGACGCAGCTCACATTGGTATTTAAAAATATTTGTTAATTCTTTGTATATTTTACTATTTTGATTACAGACATGCAATTATTTTGTTTTATAGGACCTGCAGCTAACCCTGAAGAACAAGCTGCGCTGACGTTGATGGAGAATACTCTCATTGTTCTGGAAGATGCCATCTCGCCAGTATCGTCTATCGGCGGCACAGATACGGAGTCAGATTGAAGTTTTCCTATTTTCGATTGTTTTTTCATTATTTTAATTTATGATTTGTTGACATGTCCTGATAAATAATTTATACACTTTTATGTTTCTCAGCTCGTTTACTGCCTGTCGAACAATAACTAGAGGAAAAGGAGTTTGTTGATCACATGCCTACTTCTCTTTCTTTAATTCCTTGTGTTGGTAAAGTATCTCGCATAAAGACTCCACGGAATTTTTTTTTATTTTTAGTAATTTAAACAGTTCTAGAAGGTCGTAGTTGATTAATGGCTTCAAGTCTTTGTTGAATGTCATTTAAAAAGCATAAAATTTATATGTGAGTATAGCGCAAAATGATACTCGTATATTCACACCCCTTTAAACCGTTATTATATAAATATCTATGATTTTCATGATGTTCTGACACTTTGAGAATAATAAACAATCTAAAATACACTAAAAACGTTGAAATTTGTTGAAAAATGAAAACCAGTGTTGTCAAAATGGGCCCTGGGCCCTATAGGGCCGGGCCGGAAATTAATTGGCATTTAATCGCTAATTACATGATAAAAGTAGCAAAGCGTCAATAGAATGAGAGAAAAAACAACGAGAAACGACGCTCCGCGTTTACGCTGCTTGTTGTTTAGTGTAATTAGCGTCGGCGGCAAATCAAACTAGGCCCCCGGCCCGGCCCTGTTTTTTTACCAACCCTGCTTCTAACCAACAAATCATTGAAAGTCATGTCAGTTTTTCGATACCAATTTTTCTTTTCTGAAACTTTGTGTGACATATTCGTTAGACGAATGCCGAAAGGGACCTGACAATTGCCATCATTTTGCAGATAATATTCTGGATCAACTTTCAATGATATTTTTTAGCAATAAATTTCATTTTCAAAAGTAAAATTAATAGGTCCCATGTGAGAGGATCAGTTCAACCAGTAGACCGCTTTTTTAGTCATTGATGTTTCAAATTAACTCCATTCTCATTTGGCACCGTTTTCGTATTTTTTCGTAAGTTAAATTTGAATTTGAACAATGGGAGTTCGTCTCTTCTATTGAATGACATCACATCATGAAATTGCACAATGAAAGCATTTAGAAAAGAAAATATTTATAGCGAACAACAAAAATTAGAACAATCATTGAGAGAAAATAATCCATATTTTTAAAATGATAAGATTCTGGGTTTTCAATTTTCGATAGTAGAAATTTTCAAGTACCAATTTTTCTCAGTTTCGAAACAGAAACAAAAAATTAAAATTAAATATCATTTTTTAATGTTTTTTTTTTGCATTTGATGAATAATAAAACTTTTGATGGTGTTACAGAAAAGTGCACAGTTTGGCGCACACTTTAAGGGAAGGGGTCAATTTTATCCGACAATTAAAAAAAGAAAATTTCTGAATTGAATATATTCTTCAATAGGCTAAATGCCAAAAAAATTGTATACAATATCTTAGATGTGCGGTGTGCGCCTTTAAAAATTACACTTATGGTACAAAACAGATTTGGAAAAAACTCAAAAAAAAAACCCTAAAAATTCCTATGCAGATTGCGGAAAAAACGAAAAAACCACGTCCGCGTCCAGATTTCTCGAACAGCACCACAGTTTTTATTATATCGCTGCAATGTGACATGAAATATTAATCGTGTGCTCCTTTAACAGTAACTATTTTACGGGGTTTTATTTTTTTTAACCTAGTTGTTTCCAATTTTTCCATTTTGTCGCATTTGCTTTAGTAAATCAATTTCAGGCACACATTAAACGATCGAAATGTTATCGAACATTCAGAAACGAAAACTTGCCACTCTCTTGCTAGTATTTCTTAGGAAAATCGAAACCACAAAAATAAATAGTTTCAGTTGTGTATTTGAAGCGCACGGAGCGTTAAACTTATGTTGGAAAGTAGAAGGAGATTTCAGCGGGATTATGGCGATTTTTGGAATCTTAAATCAAAGATTCTACAACATTTCATTCAACAAATTAATGGATAAATCACAAACAACAAAAACCTTTGAATTCACTCCCTGATTTTGTAAATATTGTTGATCCTTATGCCTTATATACTGTAATTAATTAACTTAAACATCAGAAAAAGGCGAAAAATATTGCAACATTTGGTGCATTCCCGCAAAAACGAGCACATTTCGCATTTCAATATGTATGTACGTTGACGAACAAATGCGAGACAGACTCGATGAGGCGGTGTCGTCGACGAACGCGCGGAACTTCATCGATTCGCTTCCTGTTAATTGGTGCATACGCGAAAAGAAACGGGGAACTGAAAATGTTCATCTCATTGGAATTGCAAACTAATGACAAAATGGATTAAATGGCGGATGATGATGATGATGATGGTGATGAGTACCGGCGAGTTGCAGCTGCTTTCCACCTACTTTCAATGGTCGTAGTTTCCGGTCACAAAACTCAAAAAGTGTCGAAAAAATCCGAATAAAAATATGATTGTATCGTTCTTTTTTCACAAATGCTTGAATATTTTGCGAAGTACGTTGCCTCTGTTTTATTTTTTTTATATTAATCGAAATTGACAAGAATCGATGATGTGAGATCTAATTGCATGAAGGTGATTTCTGAGACTTCGGTTTGCAAACGCCATCATTTGTCTTTGTAGAGCAAAGTTATTTCGGATGCGAGACATGGTTTGACAAACTAAGCTAATGCGGTGACCATGCTGCTCGGTGGTTAATGAGCTCAATTTTGGCGGCGAAGTTACATGTGACTAAGGGGGACGACTGAAATTCGTCCAGCAATATTCATTGATCTCAATCTCAAATGAGAACTTCAAATATTTGGGTTATCATTCGATATTATAGTTACATTTTGTTAGATTGGAATAATTATTGGAATTTTTTCCACCAAAAACAAATGGTTTGCTTCCCTGTGAAAATCATAAATTATAGCTTATTTAACTAAATAATATGTAGTGAAAAATGTTATTGTTAACAATTAGGATTCTTGTCCAAAAATAATTAAAACTTGCGTTAGCAGAGGGGTTTTTTTCGTTCTGTTTCATCCATTTAGTCGGACGTCAGTCGTCGAGTTTATTAGCGCAATTTTCAACCCTAAACGAACCATTTTTCGTTTAGTAGTTTTTTTTCTTTAAATGAACATGTTTTAACGAAAGCATATGTTTGTTTCTATTAAAAATTACAATGAAAATCATAAAGGGCGTCTGAGACTTATGTGACATACGCATATGGATGGATGTGTTAGACAAAGCAACAACAAAACCAATTTTCGTCTAACTTAATTACCAAGAGTCCGTTGAACACATTTTCATAAGTTTTTTTTGTCAACTTTTCGAAATGAGGGGAATGTTGAACAAAAGTGACGTGAGGATTCGTACTTTCAATTTTCAGGTATGTATTCCCGGAATCGTCGCCGCGGTATTGTCAGCCATTGTATTCGCAAGACTTCGACAGACATCACTGGAAGTAAGCGATAGTTAATGATTCGAAAACCATTAAATCATGAATCGACGGAAGTAACAATTTTTGTTCGATGACTATTCGCTAAAAATCGAAAGATTAGGGTTTTGAGTAACGATTCTTAGAAAGATTCTCGTTCGCTTCACGTCAAAATTAATTCACGGTTCGAGTTTTGCACCGAAAAATTGGACTCGAACAAGCTTGTTTAGATGTCAGAGATATCTGTAAAAAAAAACCAAACACTTCCGCGTAGATTCTAGAATTGGAGCAAAACCAAAATTCAAGACAATTTTAAAGATTTATTGAAAGCGCTTTGGTGGTTCTTAATTTTTTCTCGATTTTTCGAAATATTATTTTTTTCTGAAAATAACGTTTTGTATCAGATTTTTGTCGTCTTATTTTGTTGCTGACATCGCGCAATTTTTCAAATAGGCGCTTAGAAAATTATGGAAGAAAATAAGAGGCTTTTGGCAATTATTCTAGACAAAACCGGCAGGCAGTTCTCTCGAAATTGCCTAGAATTACGGCTGTCTTTAAAAAATCACATTTTTTCGTCCAATTCGTTTTGGTGCTAAAAGACGATGAAGAAAAAGAAGAAGATGGCGAAAAACCGAAATTCGATCATCATTTATTCGAGAGCAATTTCGTCGAATATGCTAATCGGGAGCTTGATGAGTCCGATGATTTTTGAAATGAGGCGAATGATGAGAGAACAAAAAGAAACGTTTAATTTGAAGATGAGCACGACTCACTTAGTCACAATTTTTCGGTAAATATCAAAGACAACAATCGAAGTCTTTAATAGCTTCTAGCAACTAACAATAAATATGAAACAGATAAAACATGAAAAACGAGGATATTTATGTATTTGCAGAAATTGTTTTTGGGCAATTTGGCTGTTTGAAGTGAAACTTCTTTGCAGGTTCTTCTTTGTGGACTCTCCCTATTTGACGTGATACTTTTAACCTCGTCGATAATGATCTACCCGTCAATGAACGAATGCTCAAGAATTCACGAGCCGGTGGAAAGGGTGAGTTGCTCCAAAATCTCTTCAACCGGAGCACAAACAAATATAATTTTGATGATTTCGAAATGGAGAATGCGATTCATAAATGGATTTTGTGTTATTTATCAAACGCCAACCTTTTTCAGCATCAAAGCCTTGTTTGTCATTTCTTTTGGAGATCAACAGTATCCATTTTTCCATTATCGTTAATTGCACAAGCTGGTAATTCCAATAATCACTAATCCATTTCATAATTTGTTACAGGCTCTGTTTGGACATATGTGGCAGTTACGGTAGATCGGTTTATAGCCGTTTCGTTCCCATTAAAGAAGCGGGTTTGGTCAACGAGGTCGACATCGACAACCGTGCTCATTTGCATTACAGTTATTAGGTAAACTATCAAGTAAATTCATTTCATATTCTATATCACATATATTGCTAATGAAAATATATTTTCATATTCTAAATACATCATTGAAATTGCAGCGCAATTTTTAAGCTTCCCTCATTTTTCGAAGTGAAACTCGATGAAAATGGGGAAGTTGGTCCAACGGAACTTCGCAAAAATCCGTTCTACATTGAATTTTATTTGTTCTATTTGTATGTAGCACTTATTCAAATTATTCCATGGACTCTAATCATTTTTCTGAATGCTATAGTTATTCATAAGGTGAGATTCAATGATAGGATGAATTCGTGAAAACATACTTTTGAAAGGTTCGTCTTGCTTACCGATCTCAAGAAACGATGGTTCTCAAATCGAATGCTCCACGGGCAAAACGAGAAGATGCTGAAAGAAAGTTCGTTCCGCCATTTCATTTTCAATCGAAAATCCACCATTTTCAGGGTTACTGTAATGGCAACTGTAATGACGGGAATCTTCATTATTTGCAACATTCCTCCTGGAATCAATTATTTGGTGGATCGATTCAGTGAGAAATCAGTGTATCGTCAACGGATTCCATTGTCGAATCTGCTTGTTTGCGTGAATAGGTAATCTGATTCGGAATATCTCATTCAAGTCTATATTTAATTGACATTATAGTGCTTCGAATATGATGATATATTGTGTTTTCAATAGTCGATTCCGAAACGCAGCCCTAAAATTGATAGGTCTTCGACGGGATATTAATAATCGAAATGGAAGTTTGACGAATCGAACAGCAAGGGAAGAAACTCTGGGAATTGTTAGTTTCACACAGGCTTTCAGAGAGCATGTTTTAAACATTTCAGCTAAAATCACGTGCAGGAACTTTTGACAACATTTCAACTAAATCCGCTCCAACACCTTGCTAAAAATAAAAAAACGATTCATAAATTTTTTTTGATTTAATTCCATGAAAAAATCATAAATATTCATCGACAATGCCTTCAAAATAAACATGGATAGTGGAATAGCCTTGAGACAACTGGTTGATTGTCCTACAAAATTAACAATCAATGATATCTCTAAAAACTATTACAAAATGAAGAATACAAAAAACGAGATAATAGAAACACATACTAAGATCAAAACGCGAATAAATAATTTTATTAACGGCAAAAATGTTTTTTTTTTAAATATCTGCTGTTTTTACCAAAAAAATATCGTTTAAAAGTGCATATTTTGCTAAAAAAAAAATTAAAGTTGGTTTCTACAGATTTTAAATAAAAAATTTCGAAAGAAAATAGGAAAATTGAGCGAAAAATTAAAAAATATTGAAAATACGACTCGGTGCAAACGATTTGCTCCAGCTCGGACGTGGGACTGCTCCCGTTCGAATGTAAAATGGGAGCAGTTTCACGCCCGAACGGATGTGAGACTGCTATCAAACTGCGACAAATTGGTTGCGAATTGGGCCCGATTCACGCTAGACTTAATTTTTGGCTCTCGTGCTCACGCCCGAACCACTGAGAAACCCTGCTCCCAATTGGATGCAAATTGGGCGCAGTTTGGAAAATAAAATAATCGGCTCCAGTTCGGAAGAGCGCCTGCTACCGATTGGACGCTATCTCTCAGTGGATTCCATTGGGCCCAGTTCAGGAGTGTCGGCGACCAATCGAGCGCTAACGTCCGAACTGGCGCAAATCGTTTGCACCGAGCAAAATTCAAAAAAATGTCTCCGTAAATCGCTGCGAGGATTACGGTAACTGTCTCTTAGCATTGTGTACAAAACGCAGGATCCCACGACATCTGGATACATTTGTCATTTTTCAACAATAATACAATTTTCCACAAGGAATTTCTTCTCCAAGACACTAAATATAGTGCATTAGCATCAAATCTAACTATTTTCATTACCACCTCACCTTGTTTATTATAATACCATCCTTTTTTCTCTTGATCGTAGTGTACTCTAGTAATTTGTGTTTTATCTTTTTTATGATATTTATGAAATACTAATGAAGCTCCACCAGTCATATTACTCTTTAATTGTTTTTTTGTGAATAAATATCATATTTTTATTGGATTTTCTGTCTTTTCTCACAACTTATTTTTTATTGTCGAACGGTATGGTTTTCACACTTCGACCGAATCACGGGCCGAAAATTTGACAGCGAAAAAGCCGGAAAAAAAATTGGCAATATTTATGCCACTCGATCTTCGATTTTGACCATAACTGCTTTTCGCCGACAAATATTTACATGATGTCTGAAAATTTGTTTCAGATTATTAAAAAAATTTTTTTGATAATACCTCTTTACATAATTTGCAGAGCAAGAACTTAGCTCTTACACATTTTCCAGCATCCTTTATTGAAATTGTGTCTAGAACACCATTCATATCAGATGAATGCAACAGAGATGGGATCTGTAACGTAACGCATTTTGGACTAGAAAATAAAATAGGTAGCATACCAATATCATATTCGGTGATCCCACCAGTACCTTTAGTTCATTTTTCAAAAACTTCTTTTGTGGTCTTCGAAACATTCGCAATTTCGTCTTTTATTGCTTCATTTTTGTGAAAATCGTCCATTCTTCTAAAAAAAATATTTATTAATGTTAAATCAAAAGAAAAACAATGAAAATGCTTTATAAAGAGCGAAAAAACAATGAAAAACAGGAAAAATATTTTTGAAAACAAAAA